CCGTCATCACAGGAGAGGGGTCTGGGCTCTCCCTTGCCCCGCGGAGAGCGTCAGAGCGAGAGCAGAAACAGAGGACTTTTGTTATCCAGTGAACTCACGCGCCTGGACCTCAGGTCCCAGGAAGAGTCCTTAGAGTCCTCACGCTGCCTAGACACAGCAAGGAAGTGCATAGGGCTTTCATTCTGCTGTCCCTGGGAACTGTTCCCTCTGCCCCCACGCTCTTCCTGATGTCCCCTGCTGTCCTTCCCCACTGAGCCAGCAATTTCTTTTGCTTTGTATCTTGAGTTCACAGGCTCAGGCCATCCCCAAGAGATAAACTAAATGCAGCAAGAGATGCCAAGGGGCTAGCCTGAGTCTGCCCAGGCTGGGGAGAGGATGGGCAGCCTGCAGAATGGCAGCTCCTTGACAGAGTTGTCCCAGAGAGTGTTCCAAGACTCAGAAGTCTCCAGGAGAGGTTGAACTAGAGACCCTCACACATACCAGCCAACTTCACTGTGACTAACCCAGGCACAGTGGACTTAGGCCCATCCGGTGGGGGTCACTCCTTGTGACAGCTCTGTGGGGGCAGAGGCAGTGGCGAATGTTTCCTCCATTGGGTGTGTGACAAAAGGCAAGAGCTAGAGAGTTTGGTGGCTTTGCCAAAGTCAGTAGCAAGGCAAGGTGGAGCTGGTCACTGACCTCTCTAGACACAATCAGTGCCTTCTTCCCATCCTGCCCAAACATCAAGTCCCAACGGGTGAGAAGCTGGTGGGAAGCTGGTGGCGGGAGGGTCCAGAGGTGGGAACATGCCCGAAGAATGTGGTGGTGGACGGTGGGCAGCTGCAGAGCAAGGATATGGGGGCCGGGCACCAAGAGCGATCTAAGACTTACAGTATCTCTCATTGGACATCATGAGGATATGAGTCACCATTGAAAGCCAGCCCTGTCCACCTGACCCATGAGCAACAGGGTGTGGTCTTGTCCCCTCCAAGGGGACTTGTGGGAGACACTGCCCTGCAGCCAAGACACCATCATGCCCTCCCTCCCCGACACTGGCAGATGACACCGCAATCTGTGGACACACATTCTGGAAGGAGAGTGTGGAGTGTGTCACATCCAGAGAGCCACTGGCGAAGGGTGACCTTGTGCATTGTGACAAACTAAGACAAGCCGAGCACAGTCAGATACAACCTTCCCAACTCAGCAGCCCCCTCTTGGACTCTGAGGTGTAAGGGTGGATACCGAAGGGCCCAGGGTGTGACCCTGGGAACCATGTCCAGGTCCAGATCTCACACACCTAAGGGGCTCTGGATTAGAACCTAGAGATGTTGTGTCCTCTTGGAAGCTTGCCCAGAAGGGACCTGGTCTCCAGGAAGTCACAGTTCAGCTGAGCATCATCTATCTTGAATGTCATAGCTGTGGTCAGGACAGCGGCCACTAACCGGTTCAAGAAGGATCTTCCAGTCCGTCATTCATCCTTCATTTGCCTTCCCACACCCTTGACCTTGCTCTGCTCAAGTGTGAAGCAAGCATATAGCTTATCTTTTATAAGCCATGTTACCTGGTCTTCCTTGAGACTGGAACTGTGGCAGGCTATAGCCAATCAGAGGTATTGGTGGCATAAGGCAGGCAGGTCAAGGGGAATGGGGGAGGGGTGGAGTTGCTGGGGTGGTGCTGGAGGCTGGAGGGGAGGGGAAGGTGGACCGTGTCCTCACCCTACTGATCCCTCTAGTGCCCTCACCGGACCCTCAGCTCCCACAAAATGATCCACGTCATTGATCTGAGTGAGTTTCAATTTCCTACAGGACCCCTGGTTCTCAAACTTGCTAGAAAAAGAGGCTTGAGACCAACCTTTACCCCCACAGTCTCCCCTTCCTCCTCCTCACCCAGTACCAGTATTAACAAGGACACCCAACGATCAAAGGCCCCAGTCCCCATGGTGCACGTAGCCAGCTCACCCCTAATCTGGCCTATGAATCACATATCCGTCTTGCCCCAGGGTCACTGGCACTTGGATGCCATTTGAAGGGACAGCATTTCCCCCCTTCAGGTCTCAGCCCTTTCTGTGGCCCTTCCCAAGTCACTGTAAGCACTCTGGCACCTACCTGGTCCTGAAGAACCTAGCCCTGGGTCCTTGAGGCAGGAGCAGCACGGCAGACCACTTTTCATTGGGCTATGTTTAAGCTACTTTGAGAGCATAGCAAATGAGTTCTACTTTCCCCACAAGTTCCTGTTCTTTCTTTTCAATAACAGGCGATTTTATCATTGTTCTCTTATACTCTGTGAAGCAATCATTATTTCCGACACCAAGAGACCAGACCACGCACAAGGCTTCAGCTCTCCATTGATTCCCACGCGTAGGTTTCTGTGGTGGGAACTTGAGGCTGCCGGCACAGGGGCAGGCCGGCCCTGGCTCTAGCTATAATAGTCACCGTCTGTGGCCCCTTCTTTAACTCACACATGAACAGTAACTGAGCAGTCCTTAGAATGGTGAGGAGGATACAAGGACCCAGGGTCCTTCTGAGAAGGGCTGGAGTTAGTGACCACCCCCTGAATGCCCTGGTCAGGTCTAGTTCATGTCCTTGAAAATGTGTCAGATCCCTGGTATCCAAAACATCTGGTCTACAAAACTCTCTACTGATAAAAGTGGCAAAGGCCTCAGCGTTAGGGTGTCTTCTGAGACAAAAAGTCTGGGTTAGCTTCATCATGGTAATGCAGAAACATGGATAATCTGTCCTAGTCAGAACTATACAGAAAACAAAACTGTGGAAAGCTGCATTCAGGCCTAGGGAGGTGGCTCAATGGGTAAATGCTTGCTGTAAAAGTTTGAGGACCTGAGTTCGGATCCTCAGAACCCATAAAAATCCAGGTGCTATAGAAAACTCTGATCTCCTGGTTTCCGCAGAAAGATGGGATGTGGGGTCAGGAGACTCCAGAAGCTGGTAGGTCAGTTAGCCCTATGCACATAAAAGCAAACAACAGACACGCTACTTCAAACAAGATGGAAGACGGAGACTGACACCAGAGCGTGTCCTTTGACCTCCACATGCATGCCATAGCACACATACAACCACACTCCCATAGATGAACATTACACACAAGCTCAAGTTGAGAAAAGGAAGTCCTGTCGAAAGCCTCAGAGTTCAGCACTCGATCCAAGTACCACCTCCATGCAAAATTCTCTGAGTGCCCATGCACACTGCACAGGTATGTAGATATTTACATATGCACGCACACACAGGCATGCGTGTTGGCATAAGTGCACACGTTCATCATTAACGTAGCTGTCATCGCATTCAGTGGACTCGCCTGCATGTGTGAAAGAGAGGCAGGCAGGCAGGCAGAGACAGAGAGAGACAAAGACAGAGATCCAGTAAGAAACAGAGACAGACACCCAAAGAGAGAGGAAGTGCACAGCGATCAGAGGAGACACAGGCTGCCTCCATCCCTTTGTTCTGTGAAGAGAGACAACCTTCTGGTTGCGTGAGAGTGGAGCCATAGCCTCGCGTCTGCTTCCCACTAAACACAAGCGGAGTGCGGTCTTAATTACTAACAGAGATCTACTTTTCCTTTGTTTTGTTTTGTTTTTTTTTTTGGGCAGGATCTCACTGTGTAACCCTAGGTGGCCTGGAACTCCTTTGTAGATCCGTAGACCAGGCTGGCCTTGAACTCAGAGATCACTCTGACTGCCTCTGCTTCCTGAGTGCTGGGATTACTGGTGTGCTCCACCATGCCTGGCCTGAAACCATTTCTTGGTCTAGCTGATCTATAGCAACAACAATAATAATAATATAGTAATAATACTCATCTATACCATATAGCCAGTTTTACACACGGGACATTAGAGCAGAGGTTTGGCTAGTGAGGATCCAGCGCCCTTCCTTTTCCTCAGCAGGAAAGAAACCCACAGAGACTAACACAGACTGGATGGAAAACATCTTCGCAGCCCAATTCTCCAGCGATTTTGCGACTGATGAAAGCTGAAACTGGATGGAATCTTTCTGTGTAAACACACAAAGTAGATACATGCCCTTGCATCCGTCTGTCCCTGACAAACGATGTCCTTACAAATGCCTTTTGAATTCTAACCCGAAAATACCACCTTCTAAGAACAGCAGTATTAAATCAGTTGTTTCTCCAAAAGTCGGTTGTCACAAATCAACAAACACACACGAGACAGCATGTCAAACACAAGAACGAAAAGAAAAACTAAAAGCGCCCAGTACAGCAAACTGCCCACTCTTTCTGCTATTCAATCCCCTCCAGGGCTCCGTGGAGTTTCTGGTCCCTCTCCTGCAGCTTGTCTTCACCCTCTGAAGTCAAGGCTGCCAAAGAGGCTGACCGTGTTCCCGGATATAATCCCGCTCTCTCGTTCCTACTCCACTGTTTGTTTATGTCCCCATAATCCACTGAACCAGCCAGTGAGAGGTTAATGAAAAAACAACCTTTATTCAGAGGCTGAGCACATGGGAAACATCCAATGGCAGCCTGCCTGCTGCGTTCTGTTCAGTCCCAGCCACCTGGATTCCCAGTGGGGTCCCAGCAAAAGCCCTTCAGCTAGAGCCACTGAACATCCCTCCCCATCTCTGCACAGACCTGGTGGGACCCGGATTGGACTGTGAGACTGAATTGGCGAGATTCGACTCTCTTGACAACCAGATAGTGTCCCTTCTGCCCAAAATGCTTTTCCCACCACTGACCAGCAGGGGACTTGAGCGTGCTTAGGCATTTTTGCACAAGTCCTGAGACTTGTCTGTGGTTGTCTGTTTGGTTTCTGTGAGTAGGTTTGAGACAGGTCTAACTCTGTAGCACAGGCTAGCCTGAAACTCACAGCAATCCTCTTGCCTCAGCCTCCCAAGTACTGAGATTACAGGTGTGACGTGGCACACCTTGGTGGTTGTGAGAATTCGCTCTGGGCCTATGCCCAAGAATCCTTCATTTTTGTACCTTTCTTACCCCCAGATAAAAGATAGTTCTTTAGTTCCTCGGGAAGTCAAACTTCAAGAACCCGTCAGAAAGCTAAAGCACCATGAAGGTCTACCAGTTTCCCTCCCAAGCTGGAAGCTGAACTGAACTGTAACCAACTCAGTTGTCTTAGTCAGATCATTGTTGGTACCCTCCCAACTCGCTGAGCACCCCTATGTGTTTATTTAAGGTCAGGATCTAGAGTCTCCTGGAGGGAATGCTGACTTGGGGTGCCTCAGGCTGAGCCGCCTGGAGGCTGTGCTGTTCAGAGGCACTTCCGTCCCAGATCAGACAGGAGTGTGCTTGTTTCCCCAGCCTTCCTGATTACATGGTGTCCTTTACTATGTGAGTCTGGAAAATGGAGAGAAAAAAAAAAGAAAGTTAGAGCTTGAAAAACCACAGAAATAAAAATTCTGACCTTGAGGCGTATTAACTCCACACACACCCTGCTGTGTCCCCTGAAATCTGAAATTGTTTGGTCCCTTACAAAGAAAAGCACAAACTAACAGAGGCTACGCTGCTGTAGAAGGCACTGGAGTGCCACATTAAGCCGTGAGTGCCGGCCAAATATGGGGTGCTTTGAAAGAAGCCACTAGTCTGGTTCATAAGCCAAGAACAAATGTTCTTTTAGTGTAGAAGAAGGTTTGTCTCTTCATATTGAGTGTTGCTGCTCTGCCTGGCTTTTCTTAGCCTTAGTTGTGAATGATAACCAGGCCTACATCTCTCCCACACCCTGGGAACCACGGATCATCCCCTGCATCCTGGACGCAAGCTCCCATCATCCAAAGAGGTCACAGCCAAGACGTGGGTCACAAGGAATCCGCTGAGCTGTCCACGGTCCAGTGGAATTTCCGTGTAGAAATGTATGCTATGCCTGGAAGTCCTGCCCTCGAGTTCAGCAGGAGACTCCGGTCCTAGTAAGGACCTGTGGTGCGCAAAGAGGGTCAGGCCATTGTAAAAAACGCCAACGACCCAACGGGCCAACGGGCTTCTGCTGGTGATTGTTAGTGTTGAGTGGGCTGTGATCCACGTCCTCTCCTGGACAGGTTTTTTAAGTCTGCAAAGCTACCCGCCGCTGGTTAAGTCATCTTCAGAGAAGGCAGACCGACGTGATCCCGCTGTGCACCGAGCTTGGCCGGCGTGGGTATGCTGTTCTAAACCCACAGTGGCCAGGGCAGAGACCGAGGTTACTTTTTCACCCGCAGGCAAGCGGTAGCCGCGGCCTTTGCTCGCTGGAGGTGGGGGTTCGCGGGGCGGGGAAGCAGCTGCTGATCCGCCTTATTGGAAGCGAAGCACGGCCGCCTCAGGGACCTGCAGAGGGAAATAGGAAAGGAAGGGGATTCCCAGCTGGGAAAAGCCGCCCTGGACGTGAGGGTCGAACACCAGCGAAGCGTTGAAGGGAGGTGGTAGGCTGGAAGAGGAGGCCAGCAGCGAGGCGCCCAGCAAGCCCGGCACGGACTTTGGGACCCCCGAGGCCTCCGCCCCTGAGGCCGGCTTTGGCCTCCCGGCCAAGATGCTGTCGATGCTGAAGCTCTTAGACTTGGAACCCTTGGGGGAGCCGCTAGGGGCGGGGCGCAGAGGGGATCCCGGGCGGTGCACAGTGTGCTCACGCTGGCCACCCGCCACTGCCCCGGCGCCCTGGGCTGTGCTGTCCGCGTCGGGGTCCCAGGGCTCGGGGCGGGACCAGGGAAGGAGCGCGGGTCGCGCGGTGCCTCCCGTCGGGGACTGAGCACGATCCGGTGCGCGCGGAGGGCGTGCAGTAACCAGGCCCGGACACCCTGAATTGCAGCCCGCTTCGGGCTCCGGTTGCTCCGCCCGGTTGCGCTTGGCCTCCGGGGAACCCGCGGCGGGTTTGGGCTTCCTTTTCCTGCGTCGGTAGTTGCCGTTCTCGAACATGTCCAGACAGCGAGGGTCCAGCGTCCAGTAGCTGCCCTTGCCGGGCCGCCCCTTCTCACGCGGCACCTTCACGAAGCACTCGTTGAGCGACAGGTTGTGGCGGATGCTGTTCTGCCAACCCTGGCGGTTGTCGTGATAGAAGGGGAAACGGTCCATGATGAACTGGTAGATGCCATTCAATGTGACCCTCTGCTCGGGCGCGTCCTGGATCGCCATGGCGATGAGCGCGATGTAGCTGTAGGGCGGCTTCTGCGGGGGCTCAGCGCGGCCAGGGCCGGTCAGCGCAGCGGCAGGGGTGAAGGCCAGGGGCAGCCCGGGCCTCTCGGGGCTGTACACGTACAGCAACGGCGAGGCAGCAAGAGCGGCCAGCGGGGGACTGAAGAGGTGGCTCATGGTGACAGCAGCCTCTGCGCTCCAGCCGCCGGGGCAGCCTAGGGACTTTGCCCCGCGCCAGGGCCCTCCTGGGGAGCCCTCCGTGTGTCTGCCCTGCGATCTGCCGCTCTCTCCAGCCTCTGCGCGCTCTGTCCCTTCTTCATGGCTTTAAAAATGTTAAATAATTGTTGTAAGTTTGCTATTATGTGTTGACTTAGCGCTGGAAAATAAATTGTCTATGATAAACAGTCCTTGTGTTCTCAGCCCACCCACATTAATTAAAATTTCATTGCTGAAAATCTCCCAGCTCTTCCCTCCACGTGTCTTTTTGATACCAGCCAATCGGTTTCGGGGCTATTCCTCATTTGTTTATAGAATTAGTCTGTTGATAAGTCCGCCCACCCAAGTTGAATCAAGCTGTGTTTATTTGGAAAAATTTCCGGGCACCCAATATATAAACGCACTGATCTGATGTTTGAAATACCACGTCCACCCCTTGACGCTGTAAGCACACAGTCAGCGAGGCAGGATGTGGAGGGACGGTGGCTCTCCCGGAGCTGGGTCTGCTAGGCCAGGAAGGAGGGATGGGGATGGGGGTGGGGAAGCAAACGGGTACATTTTAAAGCTGGGCTGGGGACCCTCCCACAAAAGAACTTTTATTTCCTTCGCCTAAGCTCAATAGGCAATTTAAAGATAGAGCCCTTCTCTGCATTTAGGGGAGACTGGAAGACACTAGACACACTTCTTGGAGGTGAGCACTCTCTAGGGGACTACTGTCCCAGAGGACCCACCTAACAGAGTGGGAGAGACTTAGGGAAAAAGGAGTGGGCCCCAGGAGCCAGTCTTTTTTTGCAGGGGAACAGCTCCAGGAAGCTGTAGGTGAACAGAATACCTGGTCCCTAGCTCCATTAAAGACTGCAAAACAACCCCCACCCTGGAAAGTGGGGCTAAGGGAAAAAAGTCTTTCTGGTCTGTCTAAGGTTGCTGCAAGCAAGGCACACCATAAAGGGGGGTGGTGGCAGCTGGCGGGGAGCTGGTGTTCGTGAATGTGGGTCTTTAGCTCCATACTCTGTGCCTTCCTGTTTATAACAAGGAGGGGGTTACAACAGCTTTACAAGTGTGCGCAGCTGGCTGGTGATTACATTAAGCATTTGTGAAGCCTGCGTGCTGGTTCCCCCCCCCCAGGGGTGTAAGCACGCCCCCGCCCTGTCTCATTTTACATTTAGCCACGTCAAACTTTGAATCCAAACTCCTGAATGATGCTCATTCTAAAGGGGGCATCTCCCCAATTGGCTCCCCTCCCGTGGGGTAGGGATGCAGGTTAGCCTGGCGTGGCCATCTCTATTCACGATGTTTTGCTCGCGAGTGTTCTTTGAAAGGAAGGGGAAACAGTGTGAAGAACTGGACTGGTAGCTGCCCCCTGAGTAATTTACTGAAGAATTACTGGGAGAATGTTTGGAGGTACAACTTGGTAAAGAAATAGCCTTCTGCCACCCATTGGAGGGCGAGACACACTGAGCGCCAATGAGGATGCCAGGTTTGGACTAGTGGCTGGTATTCAGATGCTCTCTGAACGTGGAGAAGTGGGGTGATGAACGTTCCACTCGGAAGCGAGGAATTCAGAATATAGCCTTCGGGTTTAAGATGTCCTAGGATCCTACCACCACAGACAAGCGAGGAAGGAAATTGAAAATGGAAGTTTTACCACCGGTTGGAAAACAACAACAAAAACAAACAAACAAACAAACGAAACCCTGATTTTGATGAAAGGGGGGCCTGAGGGAGTGTCCAGCTAGCCTTTGCCCACTCTGTCTCCCTCTGTGACAGCAGCGTTTCTAATGTGAGTCCCGAAAGCAGCCCTGGCTACCCGCCTTGATGCGAGGGTCGGGGTGGAGGGTCGGAATGTGTTTCTCTCAGAACCCTGGCTTCAGGTTACACCAGACTACCCTTTTAAATTCTGGGGTGAAAGGTGAGTGAGCAGCCTCAACTTTGCCACCCCGTCTCTCGATTTTGAATTCCAGTAATAGACTCAGACCCAGAACTAAGTCAGTGTCACCGTGCCCTCACCTCCACAGCCCGCGCCAATCCCAGAGCTCTCCAGGACCCCAAGTCCAGCACGCACCCTCGACCCTCCCGATAGGCGCGCCCCGCTGTGCTGTCCGGGCGAGTCTTCTGAACCCTAAGGCAAATCTGAGCTTGAATTCCAACAATAATAAACACCGCCCACTTTAGGCGTAGGCTGGTCGCTGGAGGAGACACGCCCGGTAGGTGGGCGGGGCACGGCTAGGAAAGGGGAAAAAGTTTAGAAACCTCCCGCAGAATTGCACCAGCAGTTTGGAGGCTCAGGGCCGGCGATTGGCAGCGTCTGCAGGAGGCAGGAACCGGAGCACCCGGTCCGGTACGGGTGCGGTCTGCAGCCTGGGCTCCCAGGTGACATTCACAGCCTTAGCCTGGGAGGGCCTGCTGTGGGAGGATCCTCGCTCAGGGGCGCATTCCCGCCTTTCCGGGGACTGCCGCGCAAACGCCAGGAGTCTACAAGCTTAGGAGCGGATGCGCCCTCGTGCGGAAGCTCAGTCCTCTGAAGACCGACCTGGTCCGGTTGGGGGAGCCTGGGAGGAGTGGGTGCCCCAGAGAAAGAGGGGTTCTAACCAGGTTCCTTGAGTGTTCAAATCCAGAAAAACAAAAACAACAATAACGAAAACAACCTTGTAAGTACTGGGCAGGCAGTTGGAGACGAGTTACCTTCCTCCCAGGAGAGCCCCATGCTCCTCCAGATGCCTGGAAGCAGAATGGGCAGTGGTTTCTGCGTGGGATGAGGACTGACAGCCACATTCCCAGTGCTGGGACAAAGCGGATGTGAGCTCCTCCGGGAGGTTGTGGGGAGGAGACAGGCCTCCCAAAAAGCCAGCACCGAGAAGAATGAGAGCCAGAATTCTCTCCCAGGCACACCCAGAACAAAGTAGGCCTCCAAATGAAGGGCTATCTGTGTTCTCCCAGCATCTGCAATTCCTTTCCTATTCAGGCGACAGTATCATAAGTAGTACTGGGCCTCTGATCTCACCTAGTAGTATGTTTGGGTGGGGACTCGGGCTGGTCACAATAAGATGTCTTAAAACCGCTGTGGATACAGAATGGTGCTAGGGCCCACTTTTAATCCCAGCACCTTGGAGGCAAAAGCAGGCAGATCCCTGTGAGTTCAAGGCCAGCCTGGTATACAGAGCAAGTTGCAGGACAGCCAGGGCTACACAAAGAAAACCTCTCTCAAAACATCACTGTGGACAAAGCCTCTTTACTAGTGTGAATTGAGGACCACCGTGCACTGTGCAAGTGCTTGCATTAGCATTAAGTCAGTTCACCTCCTCAGCAACTCTAAGAAGTAGCCTCAGGCATCTTATCAGAGTCACAAGTAGGCTCCTGCAGGAGCCCAAGTTCAAGGTCAGGGAGTTCAAAGCAATTGGCAATTTAGTGAGACCCTGTCTCAAAACATAAAATATGAAATACAAAAGAAAAAGAAAAAAAAGCAAGTAAGAGATGGGGTTATCATTCAGTTGGTAGAATGCTTGTCTGGCATGCAGGAAGCCCACATAAATCAGGCACGGTGGCCTGTGCCAGTAATCCCCACACCTAAGGGATAGAAGCAGGAGGCTCAGAAGTTCAAAGTCATCTTCAGCTATGTGGTGAGTTTGAGGTCGGCCTGGGCTACCTGAAATCCTGTCTGAAAAAGGAGAAGCTGAGAGATGTTACTACTAGTAGTTAAGAACACTATTGCCAGGTGGTGGAGGCACACGCCTTTAATCACGGCACTTGAGAGGCAGAGGCAGGCGGATCTCTGAGAGTTCAAGATCAGCCTGGTCTACAAGAGCTAGTTCCAGGACAGCTAGGGCTGTTACACAAAGAAACACTGTTTGAAAAACTAAAAGTAAACAAATAAGCATAATAAATAAATGAACAAAAGGGCACTTTTCTTCTGGGAGAAGAATGTGTGGTTCTCGTGAACCATGTTTGGTTCTCAGCACCCACACAGGTTAACTAACAACCACCTTGTAACTCCAGCTCCAGGGACAGAATAATTAAATAATAAAATATTTTTTAAGTAAAGGGGCTTTTAGGGATAGTGATGTGACACTTGCCCAGCATGTGTGAAATGGAGGATTTAGTTCCCAGTAATCACACACGCATGCGCGCGCGCGCACACACACACACACACACACACACACACACACAAATTAGAGGAAGAAAATATCTTTGTTGTTCCCACAAGAAGTTGAGGCCCAGGAAGTTAACTGTCTCAGTTCTTGCTTAGAGACCTGTCCAAAGATAGGAACACAATCATATTACAGCAGCCACCCTGCATGAGGCACTCAGGACCCCTGCGGGAAGAACTTCCTTCTCAAGCCCTTGCAGCAGCAGTGAAAGGCAAGCCTGAAGGATCCACCCATTCTGCGGAGCATGAAACTGAGGCTAAATCACAAAGCACTCCCCAGCTACGGCCACTTGGGTAACTAGCAGAGGGGGAATCCGAAGTCACAGTTTGTCCTCAAAGGTCAGTTTGGTGGGGCCCAAATGCTCAGGTGTCCTCAGGAGAGAGAGAGAGAGAGAGAGAGAGAGAGAGAGAGGAAAGATTGGCCAGGGTTGGGAGCCTCAGGGTACCCCAATCCTCACAAACTCAGAAGGCTTTATTTCTTCTCCTCCCTCCCCCTTTGAAAAGATCCTAGCAGTGTCTAGGCCTGTTTCCCCCAGGGGGTGCAGATGGGGGTGGTGTCTGAAGGGAAGGGAGGCTGGGCCTGGTCAGCTGATGCTAAGTGGGGCCCAGAAAGCAGAGCAGGGTTTTCCAAATGACATACTTATTTATAGAGCACCTTGTTCCCAGAAAGGATGGGAAGGCTCCCAAGGAGGCCCTGGGGGCACTACCCCACTCAAAGCCATCCAGATAGGCAAGATAGACAGCAGAAATTCCTTCTGAGAAAGTTCTCCCTAACAGTGATGGTAGAGATGGAACTGCCCCCCCCCCCATTAAAACTTTATTTCACAATCCTA